ATTGCCTTGTTGAACAACCCTATTTCTTCTTGTTGATAGTAGTTTGTAGTCCTTTTATTTTGTTACAATGCTTAAAAGAAAGAAAAACATAAGTCCAAATGCATCATCAGAATCAGAATAAGAAGGTTAAACAGAAAATCTAATTGATTATACAATATAATATAAACAAATTCCACAAACCCCCTTAAACATTCAAATTCCAACAAAGACCCCCTCTTCGTTAAGTTGAGTGACAAAAAAGTTAACTTACCAAAATACCCATATGTGTCCCAATAGGGATTGGTTCTCCACCTACRGATCTATTAATGGTGGAGTTGTATTGATGGGTAATAATGTGTCCTGTAAAATTATGGCAAAATGAACAATTCGAATTAGAATGCATGATGATGTTGTGAGAACATTAACAAATGTACAACATGTACGAGACTTAAAGAAAAATCTCATCTCTCTTGGCACTCTATATGCTGAAGGTTGTAAATATTAAACTAAAGGTGGAGTTTTGAAAATTAGTAAGGGTGCTCTTGTTGTGATGAAAGGCATGAGGATAGGAAGTCTATATGTGCTACAGGGTACTACTATTACAGGTTCAGTTGCAATTTATACATCATTTTATCTGAGTCTGACACCACAAAGTTATGAAATGTGAGGCTTAGACATATGCGTGAAAGGAGACTTATTATGTTAAGTAGGAGAGGCCTTCTTTGTGGCCAAAGTACAGGAAATCTTGACTTCTATGAACATTATATTTTTGGAAAATAGAAAAGAACTAGTTTCAATACAGCCATTCACAGGACAAAAGGGAACTTTGGATTATGTTCACTCAGAACTTTTGGGACCTTTACAAATTCCATCAAAAGGTGGTGTTCGATATTTTCTTACCATCATCGATGACTACTCCAGGAAGGTATGGGTTTATTTTTTGAAGCATAAGAATAATGTATTTGTGACTTTTAAACAGTGGAAAACTTTGTTTAAAAAGCAAACAGGAAAATAGGTCAAGCGGTTGAGAACAGATAATGGTTTAGAGTTTTGTGAAAATGAGTTTAATAAGTTATGCAAAAATGAAGGCATTGTAAGGCATCGTACTGTTGTTAAAACACTGTAGCAGAATAGAGTTGTAGAACGTATGAACAGAACTCTACTAGAGAAAACAAGGTGCATGTTGTCAAATGCTAGTCTCTCAAACGATTTTTGGGCAGAAGCAGTTAATATGGCTTGTCACCTAGTAAATCGATCTCCATCTACAGCCATTGAATGTAAGACTCCAGAAGAAGTATGGTCTAGCAACCCTCCTAATTATTTAAATTTGAAAATATTTGGTTGTCCAGCATATGCACATGTTAATGAAGGCAAGTTTGAGCCTAGGGCCAAGAAGTGCATATTTCTTGGTTATGCTTCAGGTGTAAAGGGATATAGATTGTGGTGTCCTGACCTAAATCACCAAATCACCATTGGGGGTGTGGGGCTGCAACCCCCATTGCGGTATTGACTTGACCCATATTCATCTTATAGGTCTGAACCAAATACGAAGAGTCATGTATTTTTTGGGGGTTTTCTCTCGTGTGCAAAAGGCAGAGTCTTGAGAGATATTGGGTGTATTTTGGGGCATAGGATTTTTTGTGAGAGCACAACTCTGTATTTGTTCTCCATTACCTACTACATAGTGGATTTCTGTTCCTCCTTCGCCCATGGACATAGGCTATAAGTCGAACCACGTAAATTTGTTTGTTCTCTGTGTTTGCTTTCTCTTTATCTCTATTTTATTTTCATTTGAGTGCCATTTTGAATCTGTTTTCTTTGGTTTCTCTACACCATGATATGTTAGTATGACTGTTTTCAAGTTGATTAAGAATTCTTATTCAGTTGTTTTTAATATTAGAAAAGTTTCACAAAAATGTATGCTATACCGTAAAACTAAAGAATTGAAACATTACTACTTTCCCACACCCATCCTTCAGGCTTGTACGTGCTAAAAGTTTTCATTATGCGATTTGTTTACAAGCCTTTAGTATGTTATAAAGCAGTTTCCATGGGCTTAACTTGAATTATCATTGTTTTCCCTATCAAATGGATTAAAACTAAAGCAATTAGCAAGAACCTCACTCTCAAGGAATTGTATAAACAAGTCAAATTAAAAATCGTCTAAAAATAATCCACTTTAATTTGAGCAAATTGATCAAGCAACAAACATATTTTATCACTATAGAATGGTTATGGACCTAGTTCCATAAAACAAGCCGATCATGTTTTATTACAAGCCATGGGCAACTTATAAATAGTCTCGCCAAGACACCAATAGTTCTATCAAATGCAATATATGTATGATTGCATTCGAATTCCATGTATAGAAGAATATTCTTTGATTTGATATTCCTGTGAAGCAAGTGTCAATTGTAATTCTCATGAAGGTAAACTAGTCCTTGGGTAGCTCCTATAGCAATGTACTCCACCTTAAATAAAATCTGATTTACATATCAATTTTTTCTGAACTATCTCTTTGTATAAACTCATATATTAGAAGAATCAAATCT